CTTACAACCCCGAGATCAAGGGTCACATGCTTTACCGACGGAGCTGGCCAGGTGCCCCGAGACGTTCTGCTTTAGGGATGTGCCAGCGGGTGAGCACAGCCCTTCTTCCGCCGTGGCCCTGGGCGACACCAGCCCTGCAGAGGGATCCGGGCTGGACTGGGCTGGGGTTGCCAGGCCACCACCCGAGGATCCCACAGAACCTCACGCCACCGCCTGAGCACCTCGTCCTCTTGGCGCTTCCGACACAACATATCCTACCCGTTTGGTCTGAGATGTCGCTGGCGTGTAGAATGAAGGGGGCGAGACCGAGGCCTTCTGAAGGTCTCTTGGGCCACCCCACGGCCAGGTTGCATTCTCACATGCTTCCTAATGAACCTGTGCCATTTTGGGAAGCCAGTGGCAGCTCTCTCCTGGCTGAGGTGGCCGAGGGGACGGGGCCATCGCTGTGACTGGGAAAGGGGGCCGAAGGGAAGACATGCTTTGTCCTCGGGACTCAGGCAGCAGCTCTGCTTTCGGCCTACGAGGCCGCCTCCCTCTCTACGCCCAGTTCTTCGGTTGGCCCCAGCCGGACATCTGATTTCTCTGATGTCACATTTTATCTCGATTTGGGAACTATTATTAGACAAAAAGAGCGTTTTTCATTTTGATTACCATCAGCCCAGGGACCAGTGTTTTTAGAGATACACCAAATGCTGCAGCAGACACCCCGAGACTGGGTGCACCTGGCGCAAAGATGAATAGATCAGGGCCCGATTCTTGTTTAGAGAAAGATAAGCAGGGCTCGACTTACGGCCAGCATCGGGAGGACTGGCCAGCCCCCCGCTCACAGCAACCTCCTTCCCCAGGCTTTGCTTTTCTACACCAACGCTCTGACCGAGAACGATGCCAAGCTCCAGCAGGCCGCGTGTGTGGCACTAAAACACCTCAGGGTGAGTCTAACCTGTCCTCGCCAGGGGCAGGGAGAAGCCCAAAGTTAGTTCATGTCAAAGTTATTCCACTGGGAAACCCCCCCCAAAAAAAATTACCGCCAGCAGAAAAAACAAAACAAAACAAAAACAAACAAAAAAACAAAACCCAAAAAACAAAAAAACCTAAAGAACAAAAAACAGCCCCTGAAAAGCATGTGTCCGCTCCACCCGCAGAGGCCCCTCGACAGCAGTCAAGGAGCGTTTGCTCTGACTCTGCTTGAACAAGCAGGTGGCCCCAGGGACTCACTTCTGAGGCCTTGCACTCTATGTTGTAATATCCTCAATCAAACAATTTCTAAAAGCACCATCAGCTCGTTGTAGGAGGAAAAAAAGGTGTAAAATACAGAAATGTAGAAGTTATCCATCATCCCAATAACTTAGCAGAAAGTACTGTTGGCATTTTGCTGTATTTCTTTTGTTTGTGGGTGTGGGGGAGCATTTAAAATTGTTGATCGTGCTAAATACAATTTAAAAGCAGTGAGTGAAACAGGAACTCAGTGGCAGGCTGGCACCACTTTCGAAGTCTCGATGAAGAAGCCGTCTTAAGTTAACGGACTCCCCCACTCTCGTGTGGTAGAAAATTGAGGTTCATCATCCATCTTTTTATTATAAATAGTGTCATTATGAGCATCTTTGTGCACCAAGCCTTTAAAAAAGATATATATGGAGTTCTGAATGATCTCCTTAGGCTGAACTCTCCGAAGCATGACTCCAGGCCAGAGAATATGAAACTTTTGGAGCCTCTAGATACAGCTCAGCCACTCAGACTCACAAAAGCAGATGGGAGAGGATGTCCATCTTGCCTCCACCTCACCTGCATCTGGAACTCTCATTTTAGAAAAACCATTGCCAATCTGCTGGATGAAAACTAGATTAAACTCACTCACCCCATTCATTCTAGAAAGAACCATAGAGAAATTCTAAGAGGACCACCTGGTTATAATCAACCAACCAGTAAGGGGGTAGGGCTGGGTGCCCTGTGGAGGAGGCTGAAGGCGCTCTGGTCCTTGGCCCTGGAGGAGAGGACCAGGGTCAGCTGTGCCCAAACCTGGGCTCTGACTGATGCTCTCAGTCTGACCAGGAGGGGACCGTCAGGAGAGCAGGGAGGAGGTAGGAACGTCCCAAGGGAAGCAGGTCTTCCCATTTTCAAGACAGGCCTTCTAGAAGGTATCCATAAAGCTCTGCCAATGGCCTGGCTCACAGGCAGGTGTCACGATGGAAAAGGTCAGGCACTTCCAATGGCACTCCTGATGAACTTGAGGCCACAAAAGAAACCTGTAAGCCTTCAGAAAAGGAAGGGGCTGAGGCCCCGAAGTCCATGCCAGGGCTGGTGTCTTGCAGAGCTTATAAAAGTAGATTCCACCTGCTACTTAAAATGTTCCCTAACGGATCCTCCCCTCCCCCCCCCAACAGGGCATCGAAAGCATCGATCAGATCGCCAGCCTGTGCCAGTCTGACCTGGAGGCTGTGAGGACAACAGCCCGGGAGGCCACACTGTCGTTCGGTAAAGTACAGCATCGAACGCCGGGCACGGTGCAGCGGGGTGCCCCGAGGACCTCCAGGAGGTGGTGCCAGAAAGGCCACGGCCAGCACACGGGCTGGGCGCTGTTAGTGACCCGTTTAACCACATTTGGCCAAGACAGGTCTCCTTCATGGTTGAGGTGGCAAGAAGTGCTCTTTTCCCTCTTAAGCTTCAGTTTATGATCCTGGGGAACGAACACCAGATGCAAGGCAGGGATACAGTTCAGCAGATTCTGTCTTGAATGTAGCAGCGAGGCACTGGGTCCACGTGAGGGGCCGGCAGGAGCTCCCCCAATGCTCCCCGCCTCTGCCCCTTACAGCAGCACCCCAGACCCAGGCGTCAGTCAGCACTAGGCCATCTTGGCTCCCCAGAGCAGGCACACCGAGGCGGGGGACAATCCAGTGACAGATCACCTTCGTATTTCAGGTGAGAAAGGACGCTTAGCTTTTGAGAAGATGGACAAACTCTACTTGGAACAAAGAGAAGAGGCCTTTTGCCAGGAAGCGGATGTTGAAATCACGATATTTTAAGCCTCAGCCGATGAGTTCCAATGTGGCACCTTTGTCTTCGCTCTGCCCCGCCCTGACGCAGGGGCTGAGTTTGGGGTGGGGGAACGCTCTGTGCCCCCACTAAGTGTGAGCTGGCCTGAGCTGCTCCATCTCCAGACCAGTTACAAAGGCCAGGGGCACAGATGAGGCCTTTCGTACCAGAGCAGAAGGGGCTGCACAGCACTGAGGGCTGTAGAACTTCAATCACACGGTCACCTTTTGCTTCTGAGAATCAGACCTTCCCCAGCCAGCTGCACTACCAAGGGGCCACGGCCAGGCAGGACGAGGCCTGCAGCGAAAAGCTCCAAGAGGAACGCGCGGCACTTGGGGTCTCCCTGCGGGTTCTGGTTCCATAAGGACTGGGAGTGAACTGGCAAGCGGGCTGACTGCTCTTGCTGAGGAGGATGCCGTGGGTCATGTCGGCAGCAGCAAGCTGTCCCCTCGACAAGCTGGGGACGGTGGGAAGGCACGCAGCCAGGGTTTCACGATTCACGCTCTTAACCCGAGCTGCAGCCCAAATGCCACCACGGAGCCTGCTGACCACGGACCTTATTCCCCCCGCCGAGAAACCCTGCGTGTCAGGTCAGGAAGAGCGTTCACTCTGACCTCACTCATCAACGTGGAATGAAGCTTCTGAAGCAAGTCAACATAAGGCCTACTAAATAAACTGCTTCGGAAGTCATAAGCTGGTTTGAAAAAAGATTTCACTGAAGAACATGTTTAAAGAAAGAAAATTCATTTCCTATTTAAATCTATTAAAAAACCTCCAACACGCCTCAAACTGTTTTTGTGTGGAGCTGTACAGAGACAGCCTGGGGTATGAATGCAACACCTGACAAAGGCACTGGGGACTCTGTGACTGAAACCTTCTCGTGTAAATTTCCTGTATATATTCTGTGCTTTTCGGTTGAACTTAGTATTTATTTGCCTTGTCCCTAAGTTCGATTTTCTGAAATTTCGATTAAAACGATTTTTATGGGTGTTTCCCTTTACCTGAAAAAAGTAGAGAGCAGTGGTTGTATCCCCAAACCCCCCGGGGAGGGAAAGAGCGGCCCCTCCCGGCCCGAAGGCGGGCTCCCCGATACGCGGCTCTAACGGAGGGCGGCCCCGCCGCCTCAGTGCCCTTGGCACTCCCTGTGCTGGCAGAAGGCCCCCCGAGTGCCCTCTCCTACAGATACCAAGCAGCACGGCCCCTCCTTGTCTAGCCCTTGGCCTCATCTGATTTCGGCACCGAAGCTCCGAGTTCAGCGATTTTTTTTCCCCCACACTGGCATTCCACCTCTTCGTGAAAGCTTAGATGCCATTTTTGTATCTGAAACCAAGACTGAAGAAGTGACAGTGGGTGTGACACCACCGTCCCGTGGCCACATGACCACAGCCCGTGTTTACTCCCCAGTTCCGTGGATCCTGCCAGGAGGCCCAGCGGCCAGTCATACAACCCTGGAGGATATAAGGGAATTTTCTGTCCTATTTTTGCAACATTTTATAAATCTGAAATTATTTCAGAGCAAAAAGTCAACTGATCACTTTAGAGAAGATTAACGGCGTACAAGGAAGGAAGACTAGGTGACTTTTTTTTATCCCGTCATTTCTCTGTCCAGCGTGGCTCGACAGAGGTACTGAGAAGTGGTGACCGTGGGTCTCATGGACAGCCGGCTAGGGACACATTCTGAGCAGTCCTCCAAGCAACTTGAGGAGGTTTGCTAAGGCCGCCCAGGGCCCTGGACATTCAGAAGGTGGGTTCTGTCGTCGTCTAAGAAGCTGGGTTGAGGCCGGAAGTGTCAGTAAACTCACCGGGAAGGGAACGGTCCCCCAGCTCAAAGGCAAGCACAACCCCGGGAGGCCGCAGTAACTCTTGGCCACCTGACCGACAGCACCTGCTTCTTGGTGGCGGTGGCGGCAAGAAATAGGAGGTACCCGTCCTTTAGGCCCATTAAACAAAGGCATGGGAGGCACCCCAAATCCATGTTCTTTAGAAAAAAAATTTTATTGTTGCAACTAAAATGCAAACCCATCATTTATATGGCAAGTTGGAAATCTGTACAGTTTGACAGTTCTGTGAGGTCACAGAAGACCCTGAGACGCGCCCCCCCACCCCCCATCATGCATCCATGTATACACACACCTGAAAAGGTATTCTACCAAAACACCTCACTTTTTTTGTGTGTTTTTATTTTTGTAAAAATGGTTTATTCCATGGCCATTGTAAAAAATAATGACCTGATGAGTAAATATTGGCTTAAGGCATATAGCAGAGCAGCTCGCTACTTCTCTAACATACGTGTAACAAGATGGACGGCCATCTGTTTTCCAAGGATAAGAGGTTAAACCAGTATATCCATTTTGAAATGCTACTATATATACACACCCAAACTACTACATACATATACAGGACTTCAAAAAACAAACAAACAAGCCCAACTCAAAAATGCTTATAGCCTCTGGCACCTCAGCCTCATCCACACCTCACCAAGGCTCTGCGGAGCGATGCCTCAAACGTTCCCACCACAGAACTTCTCTGCACGGGCTTCTAACACGTGAAAGGCAAAATGTGAAAATGCTGGCAGAAGAGCAGCTCGTGAGCTACAGCTGCCTTGTTTTTGTTTTTTCTTGTTAAAAAAGCCACTTAATGTGGAGGTCTCAAGTTCCCTTGCAGGAAGAGTCGTGAGCACCATCAGTCCCCAGGATTCAAGGGCGGGGGCAGACGTGGCTCTCAGCAAGGCCCCCAGAACAGGACGACGGCAGGCGGACTCCGAGGGACTGTCACCCAGATTGCTTCAGGACATGTGGTTTCCAACAGTTGCCTTGGTTCCAAATCACCGTCTGCTTGAGAGGAGCGTGAACTTCTGAACGTGGAGGCTGATCCCCAAGGTGCTGGGTGGGTGGGGGGGGAACCCTGCTTGCCTAAATGTCCAGAGCGTGAGGTGTGACTGCGGCTTCCCATACCCTTGGAATGTCTGAGTTACAGTGCGATCCGGACGGACAAGGCCAGGCCGGGTCTCACCAGGAAGTCACCAGAGTGTCATGCCAGGAATTCGGCAAATATCTCTTACTGGAAAACATCACTCCATTGCTGAATGGCGATGATTTTAGCAAGTCTTAGGAACCACAGCCATGGAATGATCAGATCATGCAAAGGTAGACTGGACTTGTACATGGGGCACATTAATAAGCAGAGAGCAAAGTATTTCAAGCACGTGGTATTTGATGGGGACATAAGACGACCGTACATGCATTCTAATACACACAGGGAAAGCAGTGATTGAGAACAAGGTTCTAGCAGATAACCGGGAGGGGGTAACTGGGACAAAGTAATCTCACGTCATGTATCTTAAATATCCAAATGTTCAGTATGTATCATCCCATGTTCTATAAACATATGCCAAACCTCTGCTCACCTTACCCACAATGTCACGAAATAACGACTGCTTACAACCGTCCTCCTTCCTAGTACTGGTCTGACGCAGCAGGCTCATGGCAAAGTCTTACGTTCCCAGCACTACCTGAGGGTTTATTATTGTACTTTTTGATAAAGCCCTTGATGCAAGGCTGACATCAAAAATTTTAATACATTATTGGTTTAAGAAAATGCTAGTGCACTATGGATGCCTTTGGGGAAAACAACAAGAACAAAAAAATAAATATGGAGCGGAGAGGCTCACCGCACAGTCTCCGCGGAGGCCCAGGGGGCGGACACCGTGTGCTGCCCACCGGGATGTGCTGGGCCGCACCAAGAGGGAGCGTGTGGCAGGGCGAGCCTCGCGACTTACGCAGGCCACCAGCACCGGACTCTCCTTTGCTCTCCTCAAAAAATGGGCTGTGGATTTGGTACGCGAAGAAAGGGAGGGGCAACAAAGTCAAAAGGAGTAACAACCAACAGCCCGGGGCGGGTGGTTTTAGTGCAGAACAAACGTCCGTCCAGGTCACGGCTGGCTACGCTGTCCTCGGCTCCCCCACCCTCCCCTACCATGACATGCCTGCTAGGCGGGCAGTGGGGTGGGTCAGACTATGTGCTGCTGCTGAACAGGAACTGGAATGAAACCAAACATTTTCAGATGAGCCCAGCCCCCGCACCGCAGAGCCGCAGACTCACGCACTAGCCCGACCCCCCCCCACTCCGGCCCCCAGCCCCTCCAGCCTCCAGCGAAGGGGGTTTCCTTTCTCTTTTACAAGAGCCCCCCTCCCCAAAAATCACCCTGAAGGAAAATCTTGTTTACATGTTGTTAAACCATCCGATATACTCAAAGACGGTCGCTTGGAAAGAGATAAAATATTTAAAAATTTTTAAGAAGTCCTGTGAGGTGATTTCCATGACCAGAGTTTTGAGGCTAATCCTCCCTCTTCCCCTAACTTTAACAGCAACACACTTCTCACGTGTGGATTTCTACTGAAACAGCATTTATATTCCGAAGTGGAAATTGTTCCTTCTGGACCTCAATGGCAGGGTGAGAAGCTGGTGGCCACCCTGCCGTGACCTCAGACCCCGAGGCAGGGGCCTTGAGGAACCCCATTTGTGGAGGTGGGGGGATGAGGGCGGGGCCTGACCCAGAGAGCCGGAAGGAGAAATGAGCAATGGGAAACCGGTGGGGACACCCTGAGCAAAAGCAGAAGCCGGGCTTTGTTTTCTAGAGCTGGCCTTTTGTTGTTTCTCTTCTAAAAACGGGAAAGCTCGCAGGCACTGTCCAAGCTCAGTATGCGCACAGCAGAGGAAGCGACTGAGCAAGACCGCGCCCTAAACCCTTAAACCCTCTTCTCCAAAGGAGTTTACATTCGTAAAAGCATGGGAATCTTTCCCTGGGAAATCAAATATAAACTGTGTATCTGGTGACACCACCTAAGGGTACAAGAAAGTTTCGTAAGTGCCTAGTCTTTTTTTTCCAGAAATAAAAGCTGCTTTTTATAAAGGTTAAAAACAACAATGTGTTGTAATTCTATTATTTTTTTTTCAAAAACAAATAACAATAACAAAAAAAAAAGAGAGAGAGAGATAGAGAGAGAGAGACACATATTTGGCATTTTCTCTACTTACTCCTGAATAGGTTAAGGCCCTGAGATTAGACTCTCGTATAGTCTTGGGACCACAGGGCTCCTTAAAACCCCAGTGCATCAATCCTCAATTCTCTCTTATTAGCCCTTCACAGTTCCAGACTTTAAAAACCTTTGCTCTGTTTCTTCTGAGACTGGCTCAGATCCTTCCACAGCACTGAATGCTAACGCCGGGCTGTCGGCCAGTGCTTTCTGTACACACGGTCTTGCCAGCACGTCCGTCAGTGAAAACATACCCTGTAGCAGAGGTACGCGCCGGCTGTGAGGACCGTGGCCATGCACATGTTGACCAGGAAGGGCTTCCAGGGAGTCAGCGCCTGGTCCTGCTCCTCCTTGGGTGGCGAAGGCTCCCCCTGGGCAGGACCTGCCCCCACAGCCCGCCTTCTGACTTCAGTGTCTGGACTCGTGCTGAGGAGGAGAGGGACAGAGAAGGGTTACTCATTCTGGGGAAAAGGACGGCGAGGACGCTACTACTATGGTTGGAATTCCAGGAAAAAATGAGCCACATGTAAACAGACCTTGGCAGTACAGACACTGACATGAAGCCCACTTGTCAGACCGCCCCCCCGCCGCCCCAAGACCCAGGAGGCCCCCACAGCCAGGGTATGGTTCTGGAGACTCTCGTGGACTCCCTGGTGACAGAGGGTCGGTAAGACTCTGCTGAGAAATACAGGCGCTGGGGTAAAGATAGGTGCTAATTTGCCCTGGGGTTTGCTTGGAGAATGTTCCCCTTCAGATCAGGGAAGGCAATGGTGTGGCCCACATGCCACCACTCCCTCCCCGGGCCCCCTACACAGGAGCCTTTGTTGCTGCTGACGGGAGGACATCACGCATTCCCTCTGTCCCTCAGCCCGCCCTGTCCCAGGCTCGAGGCCCCAGCATCAATCCGATCCCGCCAGCAGGACCGTTTCTCAGGCCTCCTGCGTACAGTAGACTGGCTGCCCTCCTGGTGGCAGGCCAGAGCGCCCCCGCGGGGACCATGTGCACTGTGTTCTCATTCCAGGCCTGTCTCAGGAGAGGCCGAGGCCCTTCCTCTCCCCGCCACCTCCCCCAGGCCTTTCCCTCTCCCCCCTGCCCTTGCCTCCCTCAGAGGCCCTGACCACAGGATGTCCTGCTTCTCCTATCCATCTCCACAGGCTTCCTAGCCCAGCAGCACCTCGTGTGGTGGGCAGGACCACCCTGAGGCACCCCCCCTACCCCCTGGGAGACAGAAGGAAGCGGCACAAAGCACCTGCTTTTTGGCAGCCCGCCGTGAGGCCCAGGCTACAGGGCTGAGGCCCGCATGCATGTGGGCCCCCACTGGTGTCCAGAGGTACAACTCCACTGTTTCCTGGAACTCTCTGGCTTTTAGCTTCCCCGATCCACACTCCCCTCCTCACCACCTTCGCACATACACTGAAAAGCACCCCTCTCTCCACCACAGTCTTAGCGAATACAGAATAGAACACATGACGGACTGGACACCAGTCACGTACCAGCTCTCACCTCTCTCACCCTCAACTCTTGGCAGGCCCTCAGATGGAGCACGCTGGCTCACCCTGCGAACATCACCAGAGGCCCTGGGAAGCTAGGTGTGTCTCCCTGGGGGACTGTCACTGAGCTACTGCTGAGCACGTCACCTGGCATGTGCTCTGGGAGGCCCCACTGGACGAGTCTCTCTCAAGCCCTAGAGCCAGATGTGATGTTGCTGGGATAGGGACCCAGTTGCATGAAGGACCCTGGTGACCTAAGTGCATGGGTCAGGACTGGGGCCTGGCACTCAGCATTCGGCAAGGTGCCCAGGTAAGCTCCTGACGATCAGTGTAGCCAGAGGACCACTCAGGCACACACCATGTATAACCTGCTTTCTTGAGTATTACAAGTCCACTGTCTAGCCACATTAATGCATTCCCGATCCTGTCCTTTAACAGCTCCAAAATATCCCAAGGTAGGAAGAAAGCATGATTTACCTAATCCCTAGATATATAACCGGCTCATCTCTAATTTTTCACCATTCCAAATGACGCCTCAATGAATACCTCTACCTACAGATCTCTTTGGACACCCATTTGCAAACTGTTGCAAACCAAATTTCTAGATGTGTACAAATGCTGGGTCAAAGCATGCGCTCATCCAGAAGGCAGGAACCAAGGGCACTGTCTCCTCAGGCTTAAGCTCAGGCTCATTCCCATTCATTCTTCATGCTTTCACACCTCATGCAGGCAGCCTTCCTTGAGCACCCCAGGAAGGCAGAGTATCTCTTCTTGAAGGCTGACACTGCAGTGTGCACTTCCATCTCCTTATTGTCCACAGGCTCCCATCCATAATCCACTGTCCCTGTCCCAACAAGATGGTCTAGAATGCAGACCAGAGGCCATGTTCTAGTGAACTCAGTATTTCACATGCGCCAATATGTGCTCAATAATCTTTGCCATGCATTAAGTTAATCAAGACTACACGAAAAGGTTAAATTCCCAGAAGTACCATTCTAGGGGCTGAAAGTACACGGTCTAACCTGGATAGCACATTTCAGGACTGGGCTGGAAGCCAGGGGCAGGGCATAGTCATCTCTCGGCAGGACTCGGTTACATGAAACCCTGATTCCAATGGGCACCACAAGGTGGTGCTAGAATCCCACTGAAGTAGGTCCCTTGGGGCGGGTGGGGGGCAAGCTCTGGCCGCCTCAGATGCCCCTGGCTGTAGGAGTGGTGATGGCCCAGGAGTCCCATTCCCCAAAGACACAGAGGCAATGCTTGCCAAGAGGAGGCCGTGTCCTCAGGGTTTCAATATTAACGTGTTTCTGGATCAGAAGGTCAGTCCCCCTCACCACCAAGCCAGGCCCCCCTGGCCTTACCTTTCCATGCTGCAAGGGACATTTAAGGGGGTTCTGGTTTCTTCCTTGATGGAGCAGGCTTCTGTATCCTCCCCGGTTTCGTCCTTTACCCACTGGTGGTTGGGGAAGAATTCCTTGCACTTCCCATTATGTGGCTCCAGGATTCGTTTGGGGGGCCGGGGAGGAGGGGGGACGTGTTCGGGTGGGGGCTCCAGGTCCTCATGGGAGAGCTCCTTCCATTGCTCCTAGGGAAAGCAGCAAGAGAAAGTCCCATTAGTACTCACAGTAGGCTGATCTGTCAGGAAATCTGCTCCCCTTTAAAGTGAGTAGAGGTGAGGGGCGCTCTGCTTCCTGAGGCTACAGACGCATATACTTGGAGGATGAAATCTTTTGAAAATCAAGTCTATTCTCCCTATCAATGTTCTCTACATCAGCACATCCAAGGCAGAAACTGGATCACAACTTTCTAGCTATTTAGTCATGAAGGATAGCTATTTCTTCTGACACATGACAGAGTATTTGAACTTTTACAACTGACCGCCTCCTTCTTCAGAGACAAAAATTCAAAATCAACACACTTGGATGCAAGCAGAAGCAAGGCTTACCTGCACTGAAGAGTCTCCCATGATGAATTTGGCACCTTCGATCACAGCTAGGTAAGAGAAACGGAGCTGGTCTGCTGTCTGGATCAGTCCCATCCGAAACTTCCTCATTTCTAACAGAACTTTCTTGATGTCGACAGAAGAAGGGTCTTTCCTCTTGTCCATCTGAAAGCCAGAGAGGAGACACCATTCAGCCAGCCCCAACTCCCAAATACAATGTGATTTTTAATGTTCTGGAAGAGTCCTCCAGTTTCTACTAGGGAAAAATCACAGTGGGGAGGCAGAATTCTAGCAAGTGTGTGAAAACGCAGCAAAATCGGGACCACTAGGGCACAGGGGAAAGAGTAAGAGAACGGAACTCTTTGGGTCTTCCTGATTCCACATTCCACGTAAGGACATCCCTCTGAACAAAGCAACTTAGCTTAGAGCTACTTCCACAGGAGGAAAAGTGTTAGAAATTGAAGATCCTGGCTAATTTACTGCAGAGACAATGACAGAGAAGCTGGGGGCGGGGCTAAAATGGGCTCCCTTCTCCTCGCGGGGCCTCCTTACCAGCAAGAGGCAGGTGTCAGCCAGACAGAAGGTCCCCGACCTGCCAATGCCCGCACTGCAGTGCACCACGACAGGGCCGTGCTCCGTGCTCAGTGACCCTGACTCACGAACTTTAAAAAGAAAGTTTAGGAATGAAGCTGGCGATTCAGGGACTCCAAAGTCAGGCCACGTGGTATAGTGGAAATGTAAGATCTCTCGAGTTTCTTGAGACTGAAAGAAAGAAAGAAAAAAAACCCCAACAACTCATGATGATTCTAAGAGAATCATCTGTACAGAAATCCCTGCTTCCAAGTAAGCACCAAGTGTACTCGCCGCCCCCCCACCCCGCAACTAACTCGAAGAACAGCTTCCCTTCTCAGACCTCTTTCCGTCTGCTCACCCAGCCAAGAAATACCAAGCACTGGGGTGCCCGACACTGGACCCGGAGGCTGCTCCCGCCTCGACTTCCCTTCCTTTAGCATGGAAACGTTCTTGCCCGCATCTCTCCTCCGGTGCCCCATCCCCTCTGCTGTCTTCGTGGTTACAAGTGATTTCTCCCCGTCCCACAAGTCACAATGATGCTGCGTGGCCGCCCACGGCAATCCTGTCCTAAAGCACCGTAAGGTTTCTCATGGAAGAGTAAAACACGTAACTGCATGTGTGTGGCACCAGCCCTGGGTAACTCAGGGCCTTACAAGACTATCTGGAAGTCTCAGAGGATTGTCATTTCAGAGAAAAAACCAACTCAGTCTCCAAAGACTGGCAGCTGTCAGGTGCGGCTCGATAGGCAGCTGAAGAGGCGGGCGTCAACGCCAGCCCCGCCGGCCCAGCGGCGTCCCAGCGCTGGGGACTCAGCAGCTCCCTGAATTCGCACATCGACCCCTCAAGGCCTGTATTCCCATATTCCCATTTTCTCGACTAGGAAACTGAGGCTCGGAGGCCAACCCTCCATGAAGTGAGGAAATAGGAGTTAAAATCTAAGTTTGCTTGACTCCAGAGCCCCTGTTCAGAGCCTGCTGCAGAAACTTCTGAAACGAGGGCCCTGACCCTTGTCCCCAACTGTTTCTCCCCCTGGCCCCGTCTGCTCCCAGTGGAACAGAATGAAGAATGGCCTCCGGTGCCATTTCCAGCTCTGCTCCTTCCTCTGAACCTATGAAGAGTCCAGAGGCCTGCTTACCAACAATGCCTCCCTTCACTTAGCAAAATGTCCACAATGTGCCTACCACGTGCCAGCCAACGTGCCTGGCAGCATAAGGTAAAGACACTGCCCGGGTGCCTGAGTGGCTCAGTTGGTTAAGTGACTGCTTCAGCTCAGGTCATGATCCTGGAGTCCCGGGATCGAGTCCCGCATCGGGCTCCCTGCTCAGCAGGGAGTCTGCTTCTCCCTCTGACCCTCCCC